AGACAGACAGACAGACAGACAGATAGATAGAGAGATAGACAGATACACCGATAGATAGAGAGACAGCTAGATCGATAGACAGATAGATAGATAGATAGATAGATAGATAGATAGATTGATCGATAGATAGATAGATAGATCGAAAGATCGATAGATAGAAAGATAGATAGATAGACAGATAGACAGGTAGATAGATAGATTAGATAGATAGATAGATAGATAGATAGATAGATAGACAGACAGACAGACAGATAGATAGAGAGATAGACAGATACACCGATAGATAGAGACACAGCTAGATCGATAGACAGATAGATAGATAGATAGATAGATAGATAGATTGATCGATAGATAGATAGATAGATAGATCGAAAGATCGATAGATAGAAAGATAGATAGACAGATAGATAGATAGATCGATAGATCGATAGATACATAGATAGATCGGTAGGTAGGTAGGTAGGTTGAAAGTCAGAGAAAGAGAGCAAAAGAGAGAGAGAAAAAGTGAGAGAGATCAAGCACCTTTCAGTCCATCAGTGGCTTCGCTCTGCCATCCCTGATTCACAACAACCAAGCTCTCCTATAGGTTTCCTATTTTTGAAACTTCCGCCACCGCCTTGTGCGGTACTACTGGTATCCCAGGTACCCATATTTGGGGGAAAAGCATCCATTCACTAGCTTTCTGTTGGGCTATCTGGGATGCCAGGATTTTTCCCGAGCTTGCGTAAAACGGGTATATCTGGGAAACCCAATGCCATGAACCTACCATTTGGGGATGGTTTACAGCACCCATAAAAACGGTGATGACTTGGGGATGGTTTATGGTTTTTGATTTATCACGTTATCCCCGACGGATTGTGGTCTCTGCTGAATCACCATGGATGAATCTCGATGATTTTCTTTAATCCGAAAGAAACATTGGTAGCCTAATCCTGTCGAAGTTTCATCATCTCCCCGGTTTGGGGAACTAATCCCATTTTGCTGGTCACTTTAGTCGCCTGGGCAGTTTTCTGCAGAAGGATTGAATAATTTCCATCAGATACACATAAATAAGTATGTAGACATATATTTTTCCATATATATATATTATAATGTGGAAAAAAGACTAAAGACTACTTATTTGGCCACATGTGTGATGCTTAAAACCCAGATGCTTTCATTTAGATCGCCAGTCAATTTCCATACTTGGTACCTAGAATCATCAAAAGCGTTTATGATTTGACTGTTCAATCAGTTCAATTCCTACTGTATGTTGTTACATTTTGGTGTGTGTGATCATTCAATATCGTCCTGGTTTCTAAAGAAATCTGAAGCCACCGAGGTTTACCAAGCTGAAAATGGCCAGGGCGTGCGAAGTGCCAAGGTGCCAGGGCCTAGATCATGAACCCTCTGGTAAACATAAAAAAGGCTATGGAAAATCACCATCTTAAAGTTCGGTAAATCAACAAACCAAATGGGCCATTTTCAATAGCTATGTTAAGTTACCAGAGAGTACATCCAAAAATCATATATAATCATATATACATATATACATATATACATATATACATACATACATATATACATATATATATACATATATACATATATATACATTTATACATATATACATATGTATATATATATATATACATATACATATATATATATACATATGTATATATATATACATATACATATATATATACATATATACATATATACATATATTTACATATATACATATATACATATTTACATATATACATATATACATATATACACATATACATATTTACATACATACATACATACATAAATGCATACATGCATACATGCATACATGCATACATACATACATATATATATACATACATATATACATGTATACATGAATACATGTATATATACATGTATATATATATATATACATGTATATATACGTATATATATGTACGTATATACATATTTTTGGGCTGACGCCCCTCGTCGGCTCCGCCGGACCACTCGGCCCTCCATTTCATCGCAGTGTGGGCGTGAAAGTTACTGAATGAGGACCTGCTTCAGAAATATATTCCTTAGGTTTTTTGGAACATATTTGTTGGAATAGACGATTTTTTGGGGAGCAAGTGAGTTCCCGAAAGCTCCTGCGAAGGGTTTTTCCTAAAGAACTGCTGCCGATTTCAACTTGTTACTTCGTGTAAAGGCACCTCTGTGCAAAGACTTCTCTGTGTAAAAGCTTTTGTGTGTAAAAGTTTCCGTGTGTAAAAGATTCTCTGTGTAAAGACTTCTTTGTGTAAAAGCTTCTCTGTGTGAAAGCACGTCTGTGTAAAGATTTCTCTGTGTGTAAAAGCTTCCGTGTGTAAAAACTCTCTGTGTAAAGGCTTCTCTGTGTAAAAGTTTCTGTTTGTAAACGCGTCTGTGTGTTAAAGCTCTCTGTGTAAAGACTTCTTTGTGTAACAGCTTTTGTGTGTAAAAGCTCCAAGACATTTTGTGTGAAAAAGCTCCTCAGAGGAAAGACTTCTCTGTGTAAAACCTTCTGTGTGTAAAAAGCTACTCTGTGTAAAGGCTTCTCTGTGTAAAAGCCCCTGCGTGTGTAAAAGCTTGCTGTGTGCAAACTCTTTGGTGTGTAAACGCTCCTCTGTGTAAAAGCTTCTGTGTGCAAACGCGTCTGTGTGTAAAAAGCCCTCTGTGTAAAGACTTCTTCGTGTAAAAACTTCTGTGAGTAAAAGATCCTAGACGCTTGTCTGCAAAAGCACCTTAGAGTAAAGACTTCTCTGTGTAAAACCTTCTGTATGTAAAAAGCTCCTTTGTGTAAAGACTTCTCTGTGTAAAAGCCCCTGTGTGTGTGTGGGTAAAAGCTTCTTTGCGTCTCCTCCCTCCAGCTTTCTTTCGGGTCACGCTGTCGTCCAGTTTCAATCTGCAACGTTGTTTTTTGTGGAAGAGTGCAAAATAATGCAAAGAACATGTGAAAGCATCGCGCGTTTAAAAATTGAACATAAACAGCGCACAAAGTGCTGTAATTTACAGCATATTGCGCTGTCAGCTGGCAAGAACCCGCGTAAATACCACAGTTTTAGTCCCCCAAAGAGGCTAAAACACTGTTATTTACAGGGTTTCGTTCACGTCACGATCTTCGATTTTTTGGGAAACGCGTAAATACCAGCGTTTTTTGCGTTCATCAAGGCAAAAAATCGGTTCAGAAAGGGAAGAAAATGCTGTAATTTACAGGGGTTTGGCGCCGCCACGGGCAAAAAACTGCGTAAATACCAGCGTTTCGGCGTCCAAAAGTGGCCAAAACACCGCTATTTACAGTGTTTCGTGCCTTCCACGTTTTCTTGAAATTGCAAAAACACTGTGAATACCAGCAGTTTTTGCGATCAACCCGCCAAAAATGCTGTAATTTACAGTGTTTTTTTGCTGCGCTTTCAAAAACACTGGTATTTGCAGTGTTTTGTGCATCTCGGGTCCAAAAAGTATTGGTATTTACAGCATTTTTTGCGTTTTTGCACGGCTCCCGCAAAAGACGTTAAAACGCAAAAATGCTGTAATTTACAGCATTTTGTCCATTTCGAAAAGCTGAAAATCGTCCGAAAAATGTGTCAAAACGGCACTTTTTTCCGATTTTAGGTACCCTCCAAACGGGGGGGGGGGCCTTTTGCTCTTGGAGACGCTTATGAGCGACCCGGATTCCGGCCAAAAAGCTCTCCCCCACCCTCCTGAATTTTGGTGTTTTTCGGGGCCCGGCGTCGGAGGGTCGGCGGTTTGGGGCGCGCCTCACCTTAGAGCTCTAGTCGCTCTGGGACGCTCGTGGGGCAAGCCACTCGTGGGGAGCCGGCGGAGCCGAATTTAAGGGCTGCCGCCCCCTGCCGCCGACCCCTGCCATCTCCTGAACAAGGAGAGCCCTGAACAAGGGCCGGTCGGGCGCTCAGCAAACAGTACGTAGTCCCCTGAACAAGGAGAACCCCGAACAGGGGTTAGTTTTTTCGATCCATGTGTAGAGTGTGGAGTGTAAAATGTGGAGTATGAAGTGTGGAGTGTAGAGTGTGAGTGCGGAGAGTGTCAAGTGTAGACTGTGAGACTGAAGTGTGGAGTGTGGAGTGTAGAGTGTGGAGTGTGGAGTACAAGTACCGAGTGTAGAGTGGAAAGTGTGGAGTGGAAAGTGTGGAGTGTAAAGGGCGGAGTGTAAAGTGTAGAGCGGAAAATGTGGAGTGTAAAAGGGGGAAGTGTAAAGTGTGGAGTGTAATGTGTTGTGGAGTGTTGGAGTGTAGAGGGTGGAATGTAAAGTGTGGAGCGTAAAGGGTAGAGTGGAGAGTCCGGAGTGTGGAGTGTGGAGTGTACAGTGTCAAGTGTGGAGTGCAAAGTGTAGAGTGTGGAGTCTAAAGTGTAGAGTGTAAAGTGTGGAGTGTAAAGTGCGGAGTGTAATGTTGAGTGTGGAGTCTAAAGTGGGGAGTGTGGAGTGTAGAGTGTAAAGTGTGGAGTGTAAAGTGTAGAGTGTGGAGTCGAAAGTTGGGAGTGTGAAGTGCAGGGTGTGGAGTGTCAAGTGTAGAGCGCAAAGCGTGGAGTGCAAACTTTGGAGTGTACAGCGTGGAGTGGAAAGTGTGGAGTCGAAAGTGTGGAGTGTAGAGTGTGGAGTGTGGAGTACAAAGCGTGGAGTGCAAAGAATGGACATGCAACTGTGGAGTGTAAAGTGTGGAGTGTAAAGTGTAGAGTACAAAGTGAGGAGTGTTTTCATGGACATTAAACTGTGGAGTGTAAAGTGTGGAGTGTAAAGTGTAAAGTACAAAGTGAGGAGTGTAAAGTGTGGAGTGTAGAGTGTGGAGTGTAAAGTGTTGAGTGTAAAGTGTGAAGTGTGGAGTGTAAAGTGTTGAGGGTAAAGTGCGAAGTGTGGAGTGTAAAGTGTAGGGTGTAAAGTGTGGAGTGTTAAGTGGGGAGTGTAAAGTGCGGAGTGTAAAGTGTGGAGTGTAAAGCGTGGAGCGTAAAGTGCAGAGTGTGGAGGTCAAAGTGTGGAGTGTGGAGTGTAGAGTGTGGAGTCTGGATCGGCGGGGTGCTCCGCGGACGCGCTCCCCTTGCCATCGTCTGGGGTCGGCGGATATTGCAATGATCTCATGATCATCGAGTTGCTGTCCCACAAACTCAGATATTGGATGACGATTCGACCCTCTAGTAAACTAAGAGAAGTATTGACAAGACCCATTTTTACTAGCTCAAGCAAACATGTCAATGGTCTTTTTTTTATAGCGAACGGTTAGTTTACCGGAGGGTAAAGCACACTTTGCTGCGTCACATGCTCCTAAAAGTGACGGAGAGTTTGATGCCGCCCATGGCCCAAATCTGAGAGCTCCACGCAGACAGTGAGGCGTCAATCACTAGCATTGATATGTACCTGTTGAACCAAGACAACCCGGGGGTCAACCAATGGTTCATGTGATTGTGGCTGGAATTTAATGGATATATTGAGACACTTGATGTGTTTTTGAGATGGGTTAAGCAGCAATCAATTGGTGAAACGCAAGCCTCGTGCAGAATTCTCTGCGTGGCAGGCCACGCGCGCGCACGCACAGAATGGCACGCAGCAATGCAACACGTGCGTGTCATTGGCGTTGGTTTGTCGCGTCGCTCGCAGAGCGAATCAACGCGTGCTGCGTTTGCGGCACCGCCTCCAGAGGGAGCGCGAGCAATCCATTGTTGAGGACGTCCGACGCGAAATAGCAGGGCAAAGACGAGCGCGCAGGCAACACCTGGCGCGATGGGGTTACCGGAGAAGGCCGCAAGCGCAGGTCGCGAAGGGCTCGCGCGAGTGGCAAGTGGCGCGGGCGGCCCGCACAAGTTGCCTCTCGCGTGCGGTCCCCAAGAGAACACGGACAACACATTCCACTACACGTGCCCATTTTGTGAGGCTGCCGTCAGCAGCATTGTGCGTTCTGGCCAAGTAGATCACCGCAGGCATTGCGGTAATCGATTTCAGGTCAAAGATGGATGCGTCGTGACAAAGAAGATGGTGTACCAGTGCCCGTTTTGCGATGGCAAAGTGAGCAGCAACGTGATGACCGGGCAAGTCAACCATGGCAGCGTGTGCGGCAACCGATTTCAGGTCACAGATGGATGCGTTGTGACAAAGAAGATGGTGTACCAGTGCCCGTTTTGCGATGGCAAAGTGAGCAGCAACGTGATGACCGGGCAAGTCAACCATGGCAGCGTGTGCGGCAACCGATTTCAGGTCACAGATGGATGCGTCGTGACAAAGAAGATGGTGTACCAGTGCCCGTTTTGCGATGGCAAAGTGAGCAGCAACGTGATGACCGGGCAAGTCAACCATGGCAGCGTGTGCGGCAGCTGGTTCTATGTTAAGAATGGCAAAGTCAGCGATGCAACGCGCAAACATATGCACACATGCCCGCGGTGTCAAGCCGCCGTGTGGTCAGGCAGCGCGTCGGGGCGAATCCGCGTGCAGCACAACACACCAGCGGGACGCCCGTGCACACAGAAGAGCTGGAAGAGCGAGGAAAAGAAAGAAGCATAGGCTAGGACATGCTGCTGGGCCGCCAAGGGCCGCGAGGGAGAGGACAATGGAATCTATGAAACAGTTGTTTACTCCGTGGGAACTAGCTGCATGGACAGTGAGGCCTGGTTTGTGTAGGTCAGCCAGTGCTGCTGTGTTAGTTCTATGGTCTCGCGGTGCGTTCTCTTCCGCCAGTAGTCTCTCTAACCTCCCCGCAATGACATCGCACATGGCTGCTGTCATGTTTTAAGGCCAGCCTACTGCCTAACGTTGCTTTCTGAAACCAGAAGAAAATTTCCCAGGGAAGCGCCCGGCAGGTGGCCAAAGGACATGCTGCTGGGCCGCCAAGGGCGCCGGGAAAAAGGTTTAAGGGCAGCCTAGGGCGTCGGGACACGTTTAAGACGTTTAAGGGCAGCCTAGTGCCTAACGTTGCTTTCTGAAACCAGAAGAAAATCTCCAGGAAAGCGCCCGGCAGGTGGCCAAAGGACATGCTGCTGGGCCGCCAAGGGCGCCGGGAAAAAGGTGTAAGGGCAGCCTAGGGCGCCGGGACACGTTTAAGACGTTTAAGACGTTTAAGGGCAGCCTAGTGCCTAACGTTGCTGTCTGAAACCAGAAGAAAATCTCCAGGAAAGCGTCCGGCAGGTGGCCAAAGGACAGGCTGCTGGGCCGCCAAGGGCGCCGGGAAAAAGGTTTAAGGGCAGCCTAGGGCGCCGGGACACGTTTAAGACGTTTAAGACGTTTAAGGGCAGCCTAGTGCCTAACGTTGCTTTTTGAAACCAGAAGAAAATCTCCAGGAAAGCGCCCGGCAGGTGGCCAAAGGACAGGCTGCTGGGCCGCCAAGGGCGCCGGGAAAAAGGTTTAAAAGGTTTAAGGGCAGCCTAGGGCGCCGGGACACGTTTAAGACGTTTAAGACGTTTAAGACGTTTAAGACGTTTAAGGGCAGCCTAGTGCCTAACGTTGCTTTCTGAAACCAGAAGAAAATCTCCAAGAAAGCGCCCGGCAGGTGGCCAAAGGACATGCTGCTGGGCCGCCACGGGCGCCGGGAAAAAGGTTTAAGGGCAGCCTAGGGCGCCGGGACACGTTTAAGACGTTTAAGACGTTTAAGGGCAGCCTAGTGCCTAACGGCCGCCTAGGGCGCCGGGACACGTTTAAGACGTTTAAGGGCAGCCTAGTGCCTAACCAAGGGCGCCGGGAAAAAGGTGTAAGGGCAGCCTAGGGCGCCGGGACACGTTTAAGACGTTTAAGGCCAGCCGAGTACCTAACGTTGCTTTCTGAAACCAGAATGAAACAGTTGTTTACTACGTGGGAACTAGCTGCATGGACAGTGAGGCCTGGTTTGTGTAGGTCAGCCAGTGCTGCTGTGTTAGTTCTATGGTCTCGCGGTGCGTTCTCTTCCGCCAGTATTCTCTCTAACCTCCCCGCAATGACATCGCACATGGCTGCTGTCATGTTTTAAGGCCAGCCTACTGCCTAACGTTGCTTTCTGAAACCAGAAGAAAATTTCCCAGGAAAGCGCCCGGCAGGTGGCCAAAGGACATGCTGCTGGGCCGCCAAGGGCGCCGGGCAGGGTTTAAGGGCAGCCGAGGGCGCCGAAAGACGTTTAAGGCCAGCCTATAGTGCCTAACTTTTGCTTTCTGAAACCAGAAGAAAATCTCCAGGAAAGCGCCCGGCAGGTGGCCAAAGGACATGCTGCTGGGCCGCCAAGGGCGCCGGGTTTAAGGGCAGCCGAGGACGCTGGGAGACGTTTAAGGCCAGCCTATAGTGCCTAACGTTGCTTTCTGAAACCAGAAGAAAATCTCCAGGAAAGCGCCCGGCAGGTGGCCAAAGGACATGCTGCTGGGCGGCCAAGGGCGCCGGGAAAAAGGTTTAAGGGCAGCCTAGGGCGTCGGGACACGTTTAAGACGTTTAAGGGCAGCCTAGTGCCTAACGTTGCTTTCTGAAACTAGAAGAAAATCTCCAGGAAAGCGCCCGGCAGGTGGCCAAAGGACATGCTGCTGGGCCGCCAAGGCGCCGGGGAAAAAGTTTAAGGGCAGCCTAGGGCGTCGGGACACGTTTAAGACGTTTAAGGGCAGCCTAGTGCCTAACGTTGCTTTCTGAAACCAGAAGAAAATCTCCAGGAAAGCGCCCGGCAGGTGGCCAAAGGACATGCTGCTGGGCCGCCAAGGGCGCCGGGAAAAAGGTGTAAGGGCAGCCTAGGGCGCCGGGACACGTCTAAGACGTTTAAGGCCAGCCGAGTACCTAACGTTGCTTTCTGAAACCAGAAGAAAGTCTCCCAGGAACCAGGAAAGCGCCCGGCAGGGCGACCTTACGCGTTTAATGCCCGCGCAGACGGCATTTCCCCCACTTTGGGCGAGACCGCTCATGCGGCCCTCGGGGGTGGGTTTGCAAAGATCTTGAGCCAAAGACTACCACCATACGAACAATACACTGGCCGGTGGCCTTCAAACAATCGACACAATCAGAATCCTGGAAAAGCTTTTTCTCGGGCGCGCTCCCCCTGCAACTTGCTGGGGTCGGCGGATATACATATAGATATATACATATATATATATATACATATTTTCATATTCATATATACATGTTACATATATACATATATACAGATTTACATATTTACATATGTATACATATATACATATGTACATATGTGCATATATACATTAATACAAATACATATACAGATATATATACATACATATATATATATATATATACATACAAACATATACATATATATATATATACACATATATTTCCTCTCTACAAACCCTACAACCATCATAGATTGCATATCTTGGTTGTATACATCCGCCCTGCTCAGGTGAGACGGGTGCCCGGCTTCTCTTGTGAACCAGGTACGGGAAAAATAACGGATCAAACAGATGTGGAAAACCCCTGGTTTCCGGGAAATGAGCTACAAAAATGTGTGCATATATATCTATATATATATATATTTCATGGTTTTCCATGGTTTTCCATGGTTTTTGGGTATATACCCGTTGGTTTTCCATGGTTTTCCATATTTATGTTAGTTTTTATCGTGTGGGTCTATATTTATGTATATATATATTTATAAGATAAGATAAGATCAGTAACCTCAGTAACCTCATGGACACATGAGGCACACCTCTCACCACAGATTATGATACATGATGAAACCCTTGTTGGGGAATCATCATTGGAAACGGGCCGTATTTCAGGTTGGTGAATTAGTTTAATCTTAGCCTATGTATATATATACACATATAGACAGATTACCATAGATGTAGTTGATTAGTTATACATCTTGGGTATATATATATATGTGTATATAGTGTTTTTGATTATCTATGTATGCATCGTATCGTATCGTATCGTATCATATCGTATCGTATCGTATCGTACCGTATGGCATTGCATTGCATTGCATTGGATTGGATGTATGTATGTATGTATGTATGTATGTATGTATGATTGATGTATGTATATATATATATACACATACATGTGTAGAATTTTACATAAAGAAATACATCGTATTATTTTTATCCACTACCCGACCGTGATAGCTTGGTTGGTGGCTCGCTGGGCTGTTCACTGCGCCCCGTGTCCACTGACCTGGCTCTCTTATGCACTGTAACCCATGGCCTAGTGGGTGACTCTGTTGCAGGTCCCATTTCTACGTCTACATCCGTTTGCCCACATGCAAAGGACCACAACTCTTCAAGCTCAAAGAATGTCACTGGCACACAATCACTGTCAATTAAGGCAAAGTGGATGCAGGGAAAGAGAAAGACACAAGCGTCAAGGATGAAGGTTCCCGCCCACGTGGGGTGTACTTTAGTCAGTCCCGTATCAAGGCCTATAGGGACAAACACTACTGTAGTACATTCACCATAAGGGCCAGTGAACTGCAATCTCTCCTTCCACAAGCTGCAACCCATGGCCTTTTGCAGTTCATCCCATCTGCTTTGACACTCAACGATCTGACCCACAGCCACATTTTCTCAATGCCCAGCTCCATGTGAAAAGGGAAAATCTTATCATCAGAATCTTGGGTTACCTAACATAGTGAATAGACAACTCAAAAATTATCATCACCTAATATCAACAGTACTGTCCAATATCATCCAATATCATCCAATATCATCCTACATCATCCAATATCATCCCATCTTTTTTTCTTCCGCACTGAAAACACCTGACAGCCAGTGACAAAATCATAGCCTTTTCATCGATTTTCGATACGGAGGCTGCCAATCCATATGGCTGGCGCAAGAGTATTGCCTCTGGGCCTACAGCCGTCCCCAAATGTGGGTATAATCCAATCATTATTTCAATGGCCATTTCAGGAACCTAAATTGGAGGTACCTACCATATATAAGGCCTATGTAAGGGAATATTTTGAAATTCCCATTGATTATTTGGGAAATATCATGGGGATATCATGGGGGTGATGACATGAAAGGGACTATTTTTTAGCCTCATGGGAGACTGGTGATATAACCAGCACTCGTCGGAATACCTATTGGTGATAGATAATGGAATTTGCAACGTTGGTATTTGTTATCTGGGTGTGTCTGAAAAATGGGGTAGATATTCCAAAATGACAATTTTGGGGAAGGATTGTCCTCTAAACCGCCGGATGAAATGGGGTAGCCTATTTTCAGACAAACCCAAATCATCTGCAAGTACAGGAACATGGGGCATCCAGCGTTTTGAGAGCCAAATGGAAGGTTGTTAGGACTCAAATGGGCGATTTGACTGCGAAGACTTGGTACGTTTGAGATTGAAAGCAGATAAGCGCTCAAAGTAAAAGATACCCCCCATTGTTTGTTTTCATTGAGTAGTTTTCACTCAAAGTTGTTGGTTTCACTGGACAACTGGAAAACTTTCAGCTGTGACTCAAACCTAGTAGTTTACTGTAGTTTACATCTACTCTGACATGCCATGGATGGGATGTTGTTTTATATGGACATTTCTGCGGGCAACGCATGACCGGAAAACATGTGTGTTTGGCCTGAAATTTCAACATCCCACTCAATAAGTGGTGAACTTCCGCCTTTTCGATGATAGAAATCCCAATTTGTTGATGATTCCATGTTTCGTGGTCAAATCCCCCAGTTTCACCACATTTGTTTAAGGCTTATATTCACAATGATCAATGGTTGTTGGTTAAAAAACATGTTGTCATCAAATTCCAGGAAGGTGGTGTTTCCCAGTGAGGTGAACGTGGGTTTATGATGGTTTATGTTCACCCCACTAGTTTGATATACCTACCATAAACCATCATTAACGTCGTTATGTGACTTTTACCAACTATTATGTATTATTGTTATTATTTTTCAATATATTATATATACATTAGAGTATATTATACTATATTATATCATATTATATTATACTATCATGTATTATATTATGTGATATGACATTATATCATATTATATTATATATTATATTTTATATCATATTAAATTATATTATATTACATGTTTTATTATTATATATTATATTATAATATATTTTATATATTATATTATATTATATTATATTATATTATATTTTTTATTATATATATATATTACACATTATATATATATATATATATATTATATTATATATTATATATTATATTACATGATATTACATTATATATTATATTATATTATATTAAATTATATTATATTATATTATATTACATGGTATTACATTATATATTATATTATATTATATTGTATTATATTAAATTGTAGTATATTATATTATATTTTATTTTATATTATATTATATTACATTATATGTTACATTATATATTACATTATATATTGTAGTATATATTATATTATTGTAAATTATATTATATTGTATTATATTATATCATATTATATTGTATTATACCATATTATATTATATTATATTTTATATTGTATTATATTACATTATATGTTACATTATATATTACATTATATATTATATTATATATTATATTATATATTATATTATATATTATATTATATTATATTAAATTATATTATATTATATTTGATTATATAATATATTATGTTTTATTATATTATGTTATTTCATATAATATTATTGTATAAATTACATATACAATAGGTATATATATATCCCCAAAGATCATCAGATCTAGGCACCAATATAACCCAGTGAACAAACCATTAACTAAGCATTAACTAACCATTAAGTATTAAACAATAGTTATATTTAGTATATTTAGATTCATCCCCAACATATCCCCACGCTGAGTGAAACTGAGGCGTGGGCCCCCGCAGGCGCCTCCCTCCTTTATCGCAAGCCGAAGCGCCCACCTGGGACCAAGGCGCTGGAAACCAGGCATTTTTTATTGTAATTCGATGGCAATTTGATGGGAATCATATGAAATCTAACCCATGAGATTCATGAATTGATGAAATGTGACCTTCACATTTTAGGACTGTAACCCATCAAATTACCATCAAATTACCATGATATGGAATGATACATTCGCCTCCAAATTTGATGGAATGTCATCAAGAATGTCATGGAATGATGGGCAAGCACCATGAAGCTTTGGTTCAGCGGAGCCCAGATGATTCCCCAAGGAGGTCAAGAAAGGTCAAACGTCAAGAAATTGGGGGTTCACCAAGGAAAAGATGGTAGAAATCGTTGATTTATGGTTGAGTCAGCTTACATTCCCGATTTTGATGGGGTCATTCATCATCAAATATTTGGGACATTTGATTAAATCAAACGGAACATTAGTCACACAGCATTTCACAAGACATTGGGGGAACGAACAAAAGATGGGATTTCATCATCAAAATGTGGTCAGCCTGGTGATTGGGGAAACGTAGTGTCCTTTCGCCCGTGCGTTGCCGGCTGAGCCCCTCTGGCAGCTACCACTAGCTACCAATCCAGGTAAGTGAGGTCTTGAAATGAGGTCTTTTTGTCAGTTGTAATTGGATGACCGAGGTGTTTTGACGCCACCGATGTTTGACGGATCCTGCTACCATCCAGAAAAACGGCAGAGATCCCTCGGATGCCTTTTCACCGATTTCTGGGGACCCATGAGGGGTCAAAAGATGACCATGTTGTTGGGTTATTAAGAAGGAGATTCTTTGTACCCAGATTTGTTACTTGATACCTCCCAAAGGCAATGGAATTTCTACTGGGATTTTCCAATGGTCTTCAAAACGAAGAATCCGCCAGGTCTACTTCTTCTCCTTCACATTTTCATGTTTCTCTTTGCGCCTTGGCTGGGGTGAAGCCTTCAGCCAAGGTGAAGCCATCAGTAACCTCTTCCAGCTTAATCCGCATTTTGTTGGCTATAATCCATATTTATGTGGCTTAAGCTCACATTTTCTTCATGGCTATCGATCTATCTACACATTTTTATTGCTTGAATTGCACATTCTGTTGCTTCATCCTCTATTTTTGTTGCTTGAATTCACATTTGTTTTGGTCAAATACCCTCATGTTTGTTGCCTGACTTCATATGAATCCCAGAGGTGGGACAAATTGCAGGACCACCATTATCCTCATCAATCTTGCTAGTAAATTTTCCCTCAAATCAACTAGTGTAACTAGTGAATGACGCAGCAGTAGTCCTGATTTTCTGCCCTGCGAACTCGTCAGGATCAATGCCAAGTTCACCCTTGGCGGTAGTTACAAGCTATCAAGGATCAAGCAAGCTAGTTTACAACATAATGTCAGCCCCGGATAGTCCCTGGTTGATTAAGGGGGTCACCTCCAAATAGTGATATCAGATATCATCTACGAAAAAGTGGTACTACCGTAGTTGGTACCCGCGTTTCTGCAGGGAAATCTGTTCTAGCTATAGATGGGGTAACCCTTGTAACTTGGTGAAGAGTTTCAAACGAACAAGCGGTTTTTTCCACCAGCAGTCAGCTTACACCTCATATTTTTTTCATTAGGTTATTCACATAGATGGGACATTTCCTGACATGAAACAGGGTCCGGTAATCAGTCACATGGGCTGTTTGGGGGATTTCCCAGCCATGTTTGATCCAGAGGGTAGTGCTTGTTGACGGTCAATGTCTATATTTTTTCACCATTATATCCCCGTGTCCCCAATATTCCCCCAGCATATCCTGATCGTATATCCCCATCATACATCACCATGATATCTTCATTATATCCCCATTATATATATATCCCCAGTATATCCCTCAATATATTCGCATTATATCCTCATTATATCCTCATTATATCCTCACTATATCTTCATTACATCCCCACTATACATGCTCGTTATACATCCCTGAATATATTTCTTTAGAGCAAAAATCTCCTTTAATAGATTTCCATAGTCGATTTTGCAAGTTATGTCATATGTCATATATACCTTCACTGGGGTCAATAACCCGCGTACTAACTGGGATGAACCACCAAGTACTGTAGGGATATACAGCCTCATACTCTATTCCCGTTAACGATATCCGCATTAATTATATCACGAGAACATATCTCATAACATATATACATCAAATAAAAATAAATGAATAAATATATACATGATAAATAAATAAATAACTATAACTATATATATATATGATAAAATAAATGAACATGAATAAATAGATAAATGAAGAATATATATTATATAAATAATATTGAACCAGATATTCCCATCATATCCCCCCAGATATCCATCGAATTAGGTATCCACTTTGTTGACCATCGGCCTGGTGACCTTCGCGCGCCTGGCGGACACCTATTGGTACATGAGGCGGAGACTTTTTTCGGGATTTATGGCACTGATCTTAGCTATGTGGCTATGCTAAGTCTTTTTGTTTCTGAGATAACTTTTGGGTGCACTGATCGAATTAGATTCATTAGATCATCCGAAAGTTTTTTGTGGAATTAGATAATCCGAAAGGTGTTTAACTTGGTTTATCTTTCTTATACTATCGTTTTTTGTAATGATGAGATAAGCCAAGTATTTGGCAATGCAGGATCATCCCAGGTCCCACGAATCGGAACTGCGAATCGTAACCATAGTTAGTTCAGCAATATATGTATAATATATGAATATGAATATATTAATATATATATATATGCAATATATCTATAAATGTATATACAATATATATATATATATATATATATATATGCAATATATCTATAAATGTATATACAATATATATATATATATATTTGTGTATATATATATGCAATATATCTATAAATGTATATACAATATATATATATATAAATGTATATACAATATATATATAAATGTATATACAATATATATATATACATATATATATATATTTGTGTATATATATATATGGGACAACCCAGTTATCTGGACTGAACATGACAGTGGAAAACTAGGGATTTCACTGGGGAAAACATGAAAAATGGTGAGATCATGGGGAGTTTTCAATGGGATGTGGCCATACGAATCTGGGTGGGGTTGCAGTTGCAATGAAAAAGCACCATGGGGGTAACTATGGGATCCTGACCCCCATAAATTCCGATAGAGGGCCCTACTATACTGTTGATATATCCATGACTGGAACTGCACCCCAATTGGTGCAAGCTAACGATCGCTTCCAGTTTATTTGTTCGGTTTTGCTAAGAATATGATGTGGTGTAAATGGGAAAACGGGAGCTTGTTTAGCTAAGAATGCAACATGAACTTGGATTTAATCTTGCAAAGCTGAGAAACATGTTGAGAAACAACTGATGGAAGTGATAGAAATGGGAAACACTGAAGCAACCTGAGATGGGGATTGACATGGATTGACCAGATCCTGCCTGGGGCTGGCCCTTACAAGTTTTTGTTTAAGAAAATAGCTAAGGTTGTAACTAACCCTAGCTGGAGGCGCAACCCACTTACATATACTTACAGCAACCTCCAAAAACGTTGGAATAGTAGAATCCTACTACAGGAGTGGCGAATTATATTTTTTTTTTGGGTTCGTATAGATGGGTTACAAGCGATTTTCGAAACTTGAGACCCCTAGTTGTAACGCCGGTGAACCCCCAGTTATATATGATGGTGACCAATAGAAGATGCGTCCCGGCATCCTAGGAGATATCATTCACACTCCATGGTGAAAAGCGGTGCTATCCCACTGGCTGGAACCATGAAATGTTTGGCTACGAAGTATGGACTTGAAATATATTATGTAATGAAATATATATATATATGTACATACATAACATATGGTAAACTTATAATGTATACGATGGAAATGGAATTGAGTATATCATAAGACATGTGTATATACAGTAAATTGAATATATAAATGGAGTTCAACGTGGAACATTAAACATGAAACATATTTTCTAGCCAGCCATGGGCAGGTTATATATTACTGTGCCATCAGCAACCGAAAGTGATCACAGCAATGCCAAGTAGCAGTGATTCAATGATTGCCCTGTGGCAATGAAACATGGCAATGGAAAGTCCCCTATTTATGGATGATTTTCCCAGCCATAAACCTCCATGGCTAGTTTGGGGATTTCCCTTAGCCATGTTTGATGACACATTTTTAGCCATAGTTGGTGGATGGACCAAAGGTGCGACCAGAACTTTCAACAACTTTGAACCATAGAAATGAGAGAAATGAGATGGATGCCTGGCATCCTCCAAATCAACCTAGTTGGCGATTCCAATCCATGTGCGTCTGGCTGTGTTTTGGTCACTGTGATTCGCTTCATGAGATCCCACCTAAAGATACTTAGATATAATGAATGACCAAAAAGAGAGAACAGTAAAAATCTACTAGACGAAAATAGTGTTAACTTTCTTTTCTATCTTTTTTTGGGTTGCTATAACAATAGATAAAATCTCACATCCCAACTGGATCCCACACATCAGTCTGGATTCGGATGCCGGCCTGGCTCAATGCCGACAGCAGAATCATGTGGCAATAGAACTCAAAAACCCTTCCAGTCTTTATTCCGCGATTGCCAATGGAATATCATGAATCATAAATGGTGGAATATCATGGAATTGCCAAAAACCATTGAACGACTGGAAATATCATGAAATCTTGA